ACATTAACAATGGTCAAGAAAAGTTCCGATAAAAGCAAACTTACGCTTTTCTGTTTTGTATAATCATGCCGAGGACATGTAAAGCATCAGGTGCTACAAAGTGGTCTTCTTCGAGAAGCAGAACCCAAGGCTCGGTGAGAGCGTAGCGATCAAAAATTCCGTCAAATACAAAATTCATCTGTAATAGCATCAATTATGGTAGATGACCGGAACTCTCACAAACTTTTTCTTTTGCGACAGCGTACACAAGGGATTATAGAATACACAAGAACTTTTATTACACCACGCATCATAATCCTACTAATCACAATAATGCTGAATTTTACCAAAATGGGTAAAATGCCCAGGGTTGAAAACTTCCTCAATGAGGAGATGGAAATGGTACGGAATAGTTCATCGTAAAAAACAAAAAAAGCAGCATAACGCATCATAAATGGATGTTTTTGAGCTCACGAAAAGTCCGACTTGGTCACAACTGAGAGATATGCCGAAAGAATAAAAAGTAACTGGTTTACTATGAATCAAAGAGGTTAAGTACAAGAAGACTTAGCAAACCTCGTACTATCATTTAAATTTTTTAACAACAAACCAATGACGGATAAAAAATGCAAAAAAACGGTGACTTACCTTCCACCACCAGTGATGCTTGATTTGAGTAAGCTTTGCAACTCGGTAATTCCCGTATTTGTCTGGATGCTTGTAGTTTTGGCAGCGCATTGCCTCAGCGCTGAAATGTAAACATTAGAGACTCATATATGAGGAATAAAAATACTCACGCTGCCTTCCCAATCCTTTCAGGACAATCTCTAAAATCTTGGCCTGGGAATATATGTGGGAACAACTGCGTATTATACGGATAATATATCTGGATAACCTGAAAATCAAGGCAGAATTATATGCAAAAGAGATAGGAGGAGTAAATTGTTGCTCATTTACCAAGCATTCAATTTTTTACAAGTTTCTAAATATGCTGTGGCAAAAAAGCTTTTCCTATCGTGCTCAACTTATGATGCTGATGAATATCCCAATATGGGGCAATTTACGCTCTGAGGAATCGGCTATAGGTTGCCGACTGTTGCCAACGTTTTCGGGTTGCCACGGTTGCCGGTGTTTCTGGATTCGCAAGCACCGCTCGCCTTTATTGACACCTTCAAGTTTCAAAAGAATAGCGCTTTATGTTTCATCGTGTAAGCTAGTATT